TGGGGGTGGGAGGCTCATATAATAATATCTTCCTTGGGACATACTGAGTGTGTGCAAATGGCAACCAAAAAAAGTGATGTTTTTTAGTGAATTAGGATCATGTAATTTGTTGAATTACATTTGAATTTAATTCAATAATGTAGATTTACATTTTAGGTTCCACTGACTTTTTAAAATTAAAAATAATTTTTTTTAATGTTTATTTATTTTTGAGACAGAGAGAGACAGAGCATGAACAGGGAGGGTCAGAGAGAGGGAGACACAGAATCTGAAGCAGGCTCCAGGCTCTGAGCTGTCAGCACAGAGCCCGACGCGGGGCTTGAACTCACAGACTGTGAGATCATGACCTGAGCCGAAGTCGGAAGCTCAACCGACTGAGCCACCCAGGCGCCCCTCCATTGACTTTTTAATTCATTGGAGAGCAATCAGGAATATTTTCATTGAGCATCTAGTGGGTCCTAGAGAAAAAGACTAAGATTGCACTAACAGCAAGATTTCACTGTAAATGCGAGGGTATGCTGTAGCAAATCCCTAATTCCCCCTGTGTTCACCCATATCAGGGATGCTCCAGCCTCACTATGCAGTTGACTCTTGAACACGTGGGGTTAGGGACACCAGCCACATGCAGTTGAAAATCCATGTATGAGCTTTTGATGAGGGAAACAAAGGCAAGAGAAATGTAGCATAAATTAAATCTCCTTACAGCTTGCAGCCCAATGACAGACACCTGAAATACGCGGAGCGTCACCTTCCTCGAGGAACTCATGGCTGCCTTACTTCCTCAATGTTCTTGTTTTATCAAAGACTAAAAGTAACCTCATCTTAACAGCAGCTCGCCCCTCAAGGTCCCGAAAGCCTTGCTTCCAAATTCCGTAGAGTCTTACGCTATCCCTAACCCTCACTTAAAAGTATATAATCAGTCACTCCTCACAACCCCAGTGCAACTTTCTGTCCATGGGTCCTGTCCTGTGCTTTAATAAAACCACCTTTTTGCACCAAAGACGTCTCAAGAATTCTTTCTTGGCTGTTTGCTCAAGAACCCCATCACTTCAACTTCCCCAAATCTTAATTACTAATAAGCTACTGTTGGCCAGAAGCCTTCCTGATGACATAGCTAATTAACATATATTTTATATGTTATTTGTATTTTATATTGTATTCTTAGAAGTATTATTTAAAATTTTTTTTCAATGTTTTTAAATTTATTTTATTTATTTTTGGGACAGAGAGAGACAGAGCATGAACGGGGGAGGGGCAGAGAGAGAGGAAGACACAGAATCGGAAACAGGCTCCAGGCTCCGAGCCATCAGCCCAGAGCTTGACGCGGGGCTCGAACTCACGGACCGCGAGATCGTGGCCTGGCTGAAGTCGGACGCTTAACCGACTGCGCCACACAGGTGCCCCTTAGAAGTATTATTAAGAAAATCATATGGAAGAGAAAATATATTTAAGGTACTGTATTTGCTTTTTTAAAATCCAGGTATAAATGGACTTGTATAGTTATTTGTTTCTTTATTTGAGAGAGAGAGAGAGAGAGAGAGAGAGAGAGAGAGAGAAGAGAGAGAGCACACGTGAGTGGGGAAGGAGGACGGGGGAGAGATAAAATCTTAAGCAAGGTTTATGCTCACCTCGGAGCCCATGCTGGGCTACATCCCACCACCCCGGAATCATGACCTGGGCCGAAATCAAGAGTTCGCTGCTCAACTGACCTAGCCACTCAGGTGCCTTTAGACCCTGTAATTTACCCCCTTTTGTTCAAAGGTCATCTGTACTTGGTCGGTCAGGACTGCTTCCTACAACCCTGTTGTTTTCTCTTCCCATTCCTTGAAAAGAACCTTAAAAATAGAAATATAGACTCTTCCTTTTATAAAAAATAAAAAACGTGGTAAGTAAAAAGAAGGAAATTAAAACGCCTAATAAAAATAATGAAGTAGAATAATAATTCTATGCCTACGTTCAAGCAGAGTTTAACAACGTGGCCTATATCATTCTATGCTTGTACCTTTCAAATCGGCTCATCTCACTCAAACTGTCTTGTAACACCCCTTTTTTATTGTACAATGTATCATGACAGGGTCAGGCCGATATACATTCTTCTGCAGCAGAATTACTAATAACCTTCCAGGAGCCCGTTCTCTTTCTGAAGTGTGATTTGTTTAGCAAATCTTTCACCAGACACTTGGGTTGTTTCCAGATTTTCACTTGATCAAACGCTGAAATGTTTATGTTCCCGCCAAAGTCTTTTGCATAAGCTTTTAAGCTTTGGCGTCAGAGAATCTTAGATGACCCGCCCGGGGCCATCCTAGGTCGGAAGATCTCTGGGCTGAGGTCGGCCGGAGATCCGGGGTCGGAGGCGCAAGGGGCTGTCCCCGGTGGCCGCTCTAGGAGCCCGGCTACAGGAGTCCCCCACTGCGCCGCAGACCCCGCACCCTCCACAGGGACCCCTGTCTCGACCTCATCTCCTGGGGGGGGTCTGGATTTGAAAGGCGCCCTCCTCCAGCAGGGGTCAGGGTGGGGATGCGGGAGGGGAATGTCTGCCCCAAGAACTGCGCCCTCAGCTGGGCTTTGGCTTCGCCACGGGGTGCCTGGTGGGGGGGTCAGTCAAAGGTCACAGCTTTCTCCTGCTCCCGCCGCAGGGGCACGAGGGTCCTGGCGCCTTTCCCTACACCGCCGAGCAGGGCTGTCTCTACAGCCCACGACCCCCAAGACCCTGGTCCCGCTCCTTCCTGCGTCTGAGGACGCGCAGAGCCAGGCTTCACTGCCCCTGTGATCCCCCAGAAAGTCCTGGTTCTTCCAGAACGCCCAAGGCCTCCAGAACTTGTCGGCGCCCCCCTCCCCCAACCGAGAACCCGCACAAACTCAGGGGAGACCTCCTTCACGCAGGGGCGCAGGCCCAGAGGCCCGGGGTCGTCGGGCGGAGCCCTCGCGCGGATTGGCCGCGGCCTCGATACTTTGTCGCAGCCGCGCCTTCCGCGGACCTGTGGGCAGAGCACGTGCGCTGGAGCGGAAGTGGGGCGCGGGCGGCCGGGCGCGGTGAGTCCCGGCGGAGGGGCGGGCGGGCGGCCTGCCCGAGTGGGGGGTGGGCGCTGCGCCGGCCCTGCGGCGCCGAGAGTGGGGGCGCTGGGCAGCAATCGCGGCCTTTGCGGGGGAGCAGCACGCCCCGAAAGGTACGGGGTGGGGGTGCGGCCTCAGCCAGGCTTCGGGGAGGGTGCCCAGGTCTGGGCACCTGGCAGAGCCACAGCCCCCCGGGTCCCCTCCATCCCTGCCCGGGGCCGGGTCCCCTCAGTGTCCCCTGGAGGTACCCCCCAGGAAGACACTTTGTTCTTGAAGCCCGAGGTCCCGCCTGCAGGAGCCTGGCCCCTACCCCCCCGTCCTCCCCCCCCCCCCCCCGCCGGGGGGGGGGGGGGGGCCCGGGCGGGGGTTTGCGCCGGAAGAACCTGGGGTCTTGAGAGGAGCCCTCCCCTTACCGTCCCTGCCGAAGCCCCGGAGCCTCGGCTCCCTGGGGGGACGTGGGATCTGAGGCCTACTGCCCTTCGCGATGGGGAGAAACACTGGGCTCCAAGGTAGGATCTGGTGAAGCCTGAAGCCGTGGCGTAGAGCTCTTCCCCCTAGTGGGCGGCCCCAGGCGCGAGGAGGACCCAAGAGGCGGTGCTGGGCCGAAAGAACTAGAAACTGCTGCTAGACCCTCCTTCAGGGAGGGCGCACACAGGCCTGTTGGCTGCAGTTCTGGGCACGCATGTCGTCACCACATTTGTGGAAAGCGGTTTGGTAGCATCTACAGAAAACACAGCTGCCACATAGCACTCCCCTTTAACCTTGCTTACGTGAGTCTGTTCAGTAGAAGAGTAATCCTGAGCCCAAGGTATTAGGGTTGTCATGCTGCCTAAGTGTCCAGGAGTGGAGAGATGTGGAAAGAAGCCTGGCCCCTACCGTCGTGGGCCACTTGACAGGACCGTTCATATGGACCAGGAGATTAATCACGAGCAATCTGTCTCTGTTGGTAAAACTGCTGTATGTATATGGAGATTTTTATAAAAAAGAAAATTCACAAAGCCTTCCGATCCAACTTGCCATAGCTTACCTGTGTGTGGGGGGGGTGGGGGGGGCGACGGGGGGAGGTTGCGGAGTAGATGGACTGGGCACAGGGAGGCCTTGCAGATGTTCGCTCCTTTGTGTATATGTTTAACGTGTGGGATTAGGACAATCTTTAAAACTTTGTGTTTTTCAAATATGTTGGCTTTTTTTTTGTTGTTTTCAAAATCAAAATAAAAAGCAGATGGTGCTAGTCCTGCCTCTGGAAGGTCCCATGGCTCCTCTTTGTAGAGTGCAAGCAGTGTCTGCCCAGCCCCTGGCCCGGGGTACCTCCTTACTGCTTCAAGAGGCCTTGGCATCCATTGCACAGATACGGGGGAACTCTAATGACCCCAACACACATGGTCCGTGCCCTGATTGAGGTCAGAAACGGAGGGGGAAAAAAGCCCCACCATTACCTTGTGTGTATAAGAAAGCGGGGGAGGGGCACCTCGGGGGCTCAGTCGGTTGAGTGTCTGACTTCAGGTCATGATCCCAGGATTGTGGGATCCAGCCCTGTGTCGGGCTCTGTGCTGTGTGGAGCCTGCTTGGGATTCTCTCTCTCTGCCCCTTTCCCGTGCTCATACATGTGGTCTCTCTCCCTCCCTCTCTGAAATAAAAGTCAAGAGAAAATGAAGAATGTGGGGGACACAGAGAGGAGGAGATAGGAGAAGACCAGGGTGGGGCCTGTGGACAGGACACAGACAGAAGGTTCACGGGCATGAGATGCGCCATCGCAGTGACAGTACCTAGTGCACAGCAGAGGACTAAAGAAAGGAAACTAGCCGGCATGTGACACCCCTCTGCCCTCCCCTGGGGAGCTCTCACAACCATGTTAAAAATGCCGGTGGCTAGCGGGGCCTCGCAGAGTTGAGGATTGAGGTGCGGCCGGCATGTGGCCATCATGATGACTGTTGTGTTGTTCGCAGAGGGGCCGACCCAACGTGGGATGCAGAGCTTCCTGAAGCTGCTGAGGGAGAGTGGGGGCGCTGGGCCACCCCCGGCGGAGCTGGTGACTCTTGCAGGCAGGCTGTGCCGAGACCTCCAGGATGACCCCGCCCAGGCGCAGCCCTTGGTCACAGCCGTGTTGGACAGTCAGCTCCGCCTGCACCTCTTGGACAATGCGGACGTGGCCTTCGTGTGTGCCCGGGTGCTGGCCCAGCAAGAGCAGCACCAGGCTGCCTGCCGGGTGCTGGAGGTAGGATGGATCAGTGAGGGGGGCGCAGACAGGTTCAGTGGCCACCACCGTCCCGAACACAACGGAGATGTGGGGAGACTTCTTTATAAACGGAGCCAGGAGGGTCCACTCTGCCTCACAGATTCTAGCTACCTTGTGATCTGAGGCAACACTGTCCCTTTATGAGGTCCATTCTGAGTGGTGGCCCTGGCTCGGGGAGCGGGGCTCCCAGGTGGTGAGACGGTCAAACAGAGCCAGGCTTTCGATCCTTGAGCCACAGGTCTGCAGTCGAGAACGCAAACCGAAAGTATCGTTGTCACTCCTCTGGTGATACTTGGATGCTGACTCATTTGGCATTGATGTGACCTGACCTGCACCGAGGTGAAGCCATTTATGGTCTGTAGCCCCTTAATGTGACCGTGGTGCATTCCGCTGCCTAAATACCGGTATGTTTGATTCTAACGTGCTGCCTGCCGCAGATGACACTGGGGTGGTGCATATTACGGAGCATATGCCTGTGTTACTCCCTAAGATCTGAGACGTTCTGAATTCCAAAGTACATCTGGCTCGAAGGGCTTCGTGTGAGGGATTTGGAGGCACCCTTTTCCCTCTTTCACCCCCAGATACAGTTCATGCCTGGTTCATGCTGCGTTTACCTTGGAAATCCTCACTTCTTTCCAGTTCTTTCCGTTTCCACTCCGTCTGCCACAGGCTGTGTGGGGGTCCTCCTGGTTGCTCCCCTAATGTCCCCTCCTGTCCCCTTGATTTGCTCCTGTAGCAGCCACAGGGAGTTTGAAAACTGCAGATGGGCCATGGTCTGCAGGAGTCTGCAGGCGGCTCAGGAGCCTGCCATCTGAGACTGCCTGCTTTTTAGTCTCTCTTTTGGACTCTCCCCCTGCTTCCTTCGTGTAGCCATGCTGCTTCCTGCTGTCCCTACAACTCCTGAGATCTTTCTGTGTCTCAGGACCTTTGCATGTGTTCTCGCCTGTGCCAGAGGCCGGAGCCTGGCTCTTTGTGTGCCTGGTGTCTTTCTTCTTCTCTGGTTTCTGCTGTAGATGTCACCCTGTCTAAGCAGTGCCCACTTTATTCTCCAGTGGAGAATCTTGTTCACCCTATAGCTCCTTCCTCAGTTCCTAATTAGAAAAATTATTTGTTGGTATTCATTTTGTCTGCCTTCCCTTGCTGCACTGCAGGCCCCATAAGAGAGGGGCTGCCTTGGTTCTGCTTGTTAAAGGATCCACGGCACGGAACATGGGGCTCAGTTTTTCCAAATCTGTCAAAATGGATCCGGTAAACAAACAAGGGAAAACACAGAGTTGTAATAATGTCTGTTAAGGCATTTCAATGGTGAAATGTGTGAGTGACACCAGTAGTGAAAAACTCCCACTAGAGGGATTATAAACACAGTCTGGATGGTCCAGAAATGTCTCTGAGAAGGTGACGTATAGCTGAGACCTGAGAGAGAGGATGGGGACACCACACCAAGAAAGGATGTTTCCTGCCCAGGGCCACATCCTGCAGGTAGCAAGTTTCCCATATACATTCCCGGACGGCTGTGCCCTCGGCCAGTGAAAGTCACAGCCCAGAAAAATGGGCTTTTCTGATGCTGTGGAGAGAAAGCTAAATGATTGTCAGCACCTCCCTTGCCAAGATGGTCCTGAGGACATTGGAGTTCAATGCAAGAACCCCACACACTGACTACAGCAGCTGGGTTCTGGGGGAGGCCAGCCGCAGGTATCCTTGGCCATCTCCAGAGTCTGGTTATGTGATCAAGTCCCACTGGGTTAGTGAGCTGTCACGGGGCACGGACCAGGACTTCACCCCACTTGACTCAGAATGTACTCGCTGGGCGCCGGAGGGGCCAGCTCTGCTGGGTGGAAGAGAAAGGTCTTTCATGCAAGATGTGGGTCAAGCCTTGGAATCCCCATGTGGTTCTAACTGTGGCTCTGCCTCTTGCGTGTTGTGTGGCCCCAGGCCAGGCATTTGTGTTCTCCTTGCTTCCTGCTCTTCCTCCGTAAGCAGTGACTGAGAGCTGTGTTCACCTCATGTGTTGTGTGGGAGGGTTGAAGGGCTGAAATGACCTGAATGGCTGGCTGGGCCACCAGGGACAGGCCTGCTGGTGACTGGAGTGCTGGGTTCATGCCCTCGTCGCTTGGCACATCAACAGGCAGCTCTTCTCAGGGGTCAGGTGGGGTCGGATGGCAGTGCTCCAGGCAGGGCGAGGGCAGCCAGGTCTCAGCAGGCCTTTCTCGGCAGGGTTGCCGTGTGCCCGGAGGCAGCCAGGAGCTGGTCCAGCTCTGGAACGACATTCACTACCATCTGGTCATGAAGCGGCTGGGCGTGGCTGTGCTGACCCCAGTGCAGAAGTTCCGCTGCAGAAAGAGGTATAGTGCTGGTCTGTCTTTGTGCTTATTCCCTAGGACTCCCGAGGGCTGTGCCTTCTAAAACCACAGGCGGGCCGAGGTGAAATAGAGGCGGGGAGATAAATGCAGAAGTCAGAGGAAGCGGTAGTAGTCAAAAGATCATAGGCTCTACGTCAGCCATTGTGCCCCACACTGAGCCGCACTCTCCACCTACCTGCGCGGCTGGGGGAGGGGTGCATTCCCATTTATGCTTGCAGGGTAAGGAGAGGGAGCCTTTTCCAGGACCCAGGCAGAGAGTTCTAGCTGCGGCAGGAGACGCTGCCTTCTGGTGAGGGCTCTGCAGAGAAGGGGGCAGCAGGTGGGCACCCTGACCTTACTCGCTTCCTCTCCTCTTCTTCTCCCTTGGGAAATTTCCAGCACCTGTGTCGTAGGTCATCTGATTCTCGCAGACAGGCTCTGCAGGTGCCGTGGCCTGGGTCTCAGTGCCATCCCTTAGGGCTGCAGGACATTTTAAGGAGAATAAAGAGGAGAGTGATGCAAGCATTAGAGGAGATACGTGTGGTGCTTACAAGATTGCCTGGCACGTGAGAGATGCTGGGCCCATCCTCAGCACCAAGTAAACATTACAAGTGCTAATTATTATGATTATTACTGTCCTCACCATTCACAGATGAGGAAACTGAGGCACAGAAAGGTCAGCAACTTGCCCAGGGTTACACATGAGAGAGATGCAAAGCTAGGCTTCCAGGAGAGACACTGAGGCTGCACAGCCTTTGTTCTTCATCTTGCGTGTTCCTCTCTGACCAGGAGGAGCTGCAGATCTCGCTCTGAGCTCCTGCCAGCCCAAGTGACAGGGGGTTCCTGTCCCACAGGGCCTGGTTACTGGCCTGAAGAAGAGATGGATTCCTTCTGGATCAGAGAGAATTATTTTCCCAGTGCCCACAAAAGAGTGAGATATGCCCTCAAAACCCAGCAGTTAATCAGCCTTGGGGTGTTCAGGAAAGCAGTCATGTCCCTCCATATAGGTGCTAATGGCCTGCCAGAGTCCAGTGCAATGAAGTAAATGATTTGGGGATCAGTATGCAGTATTTGGAAGGGGTCCCTGATTGCTGGGTGCTATTGGAGGTGCTGGGGGTAATGCTTGGGCCCTCCTCTCCTGGGCTGACATTGGGTATGGACAATGGGTGGTAGATGAGGAAACACCGTGGATTCCATAATCAGAGTGGGGAGTACTAGACAGAGAATGTGCTCAGTAGAGGACTATCCTGCCTTTGTTCTTTGCTGTGGGTTGGAGGTTGCAGGCAGGCTCACCTAAGCCTTGGCTTGGAGGCCTGAGCTCTGGGAGAGCAATCCCTAGATGTGTAAGGAGGGGATGATATTGGGGTTACAGCCATCATGGTTGGTACGCTGCCTAAGTGTGGCAGGGTCTCCTAAAGGTGGTTAGTACAGGAGCAGGGGCAAGAGGTTCTTGGGAATCTTTGGGAGTGATTGTAGAAAGGGTTGTGTCAGGGCAGATTTCGGAGGATTTGCTGACGAGTGAGATGTGTTGGAGGAGGTAAAGAGAATAAAGCTGGACTCCAGGGCTCTTGGTCTGATTGACTGGAACATGATGGTTTCTCACTGAGATGCACAGAACTGGGGGAAGATCCGAGAGCAAAGGATCGAGCTCCATTTGGGATGTGGTATGTGTGGGATGCATTTTTGACATCCACGGTGATTTGTTCATTTGGTGTTTGGGTACCTTGGGTGTTCCCCACAGGTAGTATTTGTTTATACATCACTTTTTCCTTTTGGAAAAACTCGTGTATATACACCGTAAAGAGTAGCATAGCCCACCTTAATATCTTCATCATCCACTTTCAGTAGTTACCAGCCATTGGTCAGCTGTGGCATCTCAGTGAGCGGTAGTGGAAACCCTGGTGACACCCCTCTGAGGTTGTGCCGTGAAATGCGGGCCCCTCCCTTCTTCAGGGGATGGACGCTTGGGACTCTGCAGCTTAGAGAGGAGAGCAGCCAGTGAGATGAGAGGATGTCTGGGGGTGCAGTGTTTGAGAGCACACGAGGTGCATCCAGGAGAAGGGGTGTCTGTAACCACCACTTCACTGTCTTTATCCAGAAACCCACCACCCCTCTCCCTCTGCCCTGATGGCCTGAAGAGCCGAAACTTTCCCAGAGAGGTTCGCCGGAAGCTGCACGACTTTGCCTCGAGCGTGAGCACCAACCCCAGCAAGGCCGAGCGGGTAAGAACCCAGGAGATCGAGGCTCGACAGCCCCCCGTTTAGCCTACCCCCCCCCCCCCCCCCCGACCTTAGGTGACGCCACCACTCTTAGATGACTCACACCTTTACCCTCTCCTCCTCCGGACCTCCCCAGTGGCCCGTCTGCCAGGATGCTGGGGGCTTCCGCCTCTCTCAGAACTTTCCTGGAGACGGGAGCTCATTGGCTGGCAGCTCGTGACCATCCAACGTGCACTCGTGGAGGGTCTAGTTTTCAAACGTGGGGTCATCATATCCCCACTGCTGTCGTGGAGCTTCCAGCCTGAGGGAGGCAGGTATTTGCGGAGCTCAGGGCCAGCAGGGCGCCATCCTCAACGTAGCCCCGGGAAACTGGAGGGACGGAGTGGAGTGGGGTGAGGTTGCTAGGGGTAAAGAGGCTAGATACGACCAGTGGGAGTTTCCCGGTGCTCCAAAATCCCGGCCTGTTCTCTCCGCCCACTTCTCTGCTCTGTCCAATCGGCAGGGCGCTCCCGTGTTAGCCCCACCTACTTTCTCCCCTCCTCTTCTAGAGCTTGTCCAATCAAAAGGGCACTCCTGGTGCTTGCTCCGCCCACCATGTTACCTGTCCAATCAGTAGTGCTCTCCCAGTGATCACCGCGCCGGCCGCGTAGACTGGGTTCTCCCGAGCGCCGAGCGGTGGACGCAAGAAGAGTTGCTCTGCGGGGTCCTGGGTCACAGGCGTTGGTCACGGGCCGTCGCTGCCCCCTGCTTCGGAAGGCTCCGGCCCGGCAGGCCTTGTCCAAGCCCTCCGCGTTTCTGGGTTATCGTTGGCGGGGCCGCCGTTGCGGCGCCAGCGGCGAACGAGGCCGGGCTGCCGGACGTGCTGGCGGCGCAGATGGCCTGGCTCGGGCCTCCTGCTCTGAGGCGGCTCAGCTTCTCTGCTGCCGCTCTCCGAGAGTGAGGCCGGGCTCCGGCTCGCCGCCTCGGTGAAAGCGTTGTCGGGTCGCCCTTGTGCACGCCGCTGCTCCGGGGACGGTGGAGGGCCTAGAGGTTGTGCTGTTTTGGGGCAGGAGAACCTGGCCTTGGAGACGAGCCTGACCGTAGAGCAAGTGTACAACTGGTTTGCCAATTACCGGCGGCGCCAGAGGGCCCTTCTCCAGCGCCTGGAGCCAGCGCCGGAGGACACAGTAGAGGACCCCAGTGTGAGGGAGAGGGGTCCGGACCGCCCCCAGCCCTCAGACCACCCCCACCTTGGCTCTGGGTGTGTGGACAGGCCTCAGTGGCCAGGTGAGTGGTTCCAGGGCTCCCCCCTTCCTCGTGGTTGGGGGCACCCTTTGTTTAGGGTGAAGCCTAGTTAGGTTCGCTCTGGTTATAGGGACAGCACCTTCACTCCCAGTCTGCGCTTTGAGGACGTCACCTTGTGGTTAGTGAGATCCCTGAGGGTGAGGGTCAGGATGCCCCTAAGTGGGGCCTGCCACAGGTGTTTTGCATTTAGAGATTATGGTGCGTCCAGGGCCAGGAGTCGAGAAGACTTGGGAAGTGAGCCAGCCACCATGATGTAGGGGTTCATGGGTTTGTAATTATGGATCGGTTTCAGACAAAAGACATTTAAGGGACAAAGGATATTGCATTGAGTCAGTGGTTGACCCCTTTTTTTCAGCCAGTAGGGCTGCTCTTAACCTGCTGGGAAGGAGGCTGGGACTGGGAGCATCAACAAGTCTCCTTCCTGTCTGATTGGCTTTCAGCAGGACAGGAGGAAAATGAGCCTGCACAATCCAGAGAGACCGCCCAAGGGCCGTGGGAGTCGCTGGCCCTGGCCCCGGACTTTTCTGGAGATGAGACTATGCCAAAGCCATTGCCTCCCAGGTACTGCCATCCCATGGGACCATGGGACCATCACCCTATCGAGTTTCCCCATCCTGGGTGGGTGACCAGGCCTGGAGCAGGCATGTGAATCCTGGGGCCAGCAGTGGGACCAGGTCAGTGACTGCAGATTCTGCCATTCTGGTATGGGAGAGCCACTGGTAAGGAAACCATGCATGTCAGGGACCCCACACTTGCGCCCTGGAGCCGGGCTCCAGCCTGACTTCATGTGTGTACTGGAGAATGAGGAAAACGGATTTGGAAAGAAAAACATGCAGACTTATTCCTAAAGGTGAACCCTAGCTCTTGTTTCATTTTCTTTCTAGTATTTTTGTACTGTTTGCATTTCACTGAGTCAGTAACAGCTAACGTTTCTTGAGTTCCTCCTGCGTACTAGGCACTGTCCAAGCACTCTCCCTCACCTGGGACGAGGCGTGAACCTGATGTAAGCATAAGGAAAGTGCCAGCCATCAGCAGGACTAGGTCTGAGTGAGGGGCCAGGTCCCATCTTGTGTAACCATCAAAATATGGACACTTTCCATTTCCCACGTGACATCAGCATCTCTCATGCCACTGTCTGTGCCTGGCCCTTCACATGCAGGCTGGCACTGCCCAGGTGTGTGAACTTAGGCAGGTTCCTGTGACCTCTCAGTGCCGTGCTTTTCTCATCTGCGAAATGGAGAGGGCATGCCGTGCAGGTTATTGCAGAGATTATGGGGTGTGTTGCGGGGAGTGGTAACATAAACCCAGGAGGACCATCTTAGACATAGTGAGTGTTTGTGCCGCATGGAGTCTGATTGTTATTGACTGCTGCCCGGTAATTCCTGTAAGGTCAACCATCATTATCCACTCAACTCTTAGGTTCTTCCTAATCATATCTTGCTTTCATCGTTGTGGAATAGTGCTTTATTGAAGTTCCTTTTGAAGAAACTGCTAATGTATCTTAGGTTTCCAGTAATGTTTGTTTGTTTGTTTTTTAGAGAGAGCATGGGCAGGGAGAGGGATGGGGGAAGGACAAGAATGAGTCAGTGAGTGACAGAGAGAGAGAGAGAGAGAGAGAGAGAGAGAGGGAGGCGGGGAGAGAGATCGAGTGTGGGGGAGGGGCAGAGAGAGAGGGAGACAGAGGATCCCAAGCAGGAAGCAGGCTCCTCGCTGACAGTTTAGATGCAGGGTTCGATGAACCACGAAATCGTGACCTGAGCTGAAGTCAGATGTTTAACTGACTGAGCCACCCAGGTGTCAAGAGACATTGAGAACCCCAAGCAGGCTCCACGCTCAGCACGGAGCCCAATGCCGGACTGGATCCCATGACCCTGGGATCCTGACCTGAGCTGAAATATAGGGTCGGACAACCAAAGGACTGATCCACCCAGGTGCTGCAGTCATAGTATTTTTTAAGTGTTCTAGAACCCTAGCAGCTACATGTAGAACAGTGAAGGCAGTGTAATTAGGGACGTGGTGGGCCTCACAGCCATCAGTGGCTGGGTCGAGTCGGGAACCTGGATTCCCAAACTGGGCTGGAGTCTCCTCCTGGGAGTCTCTGCCCTCCAAGGGATGGTGTTTGCTGTCTTCCCCAGGTCTCTGCAGGGTGGTGAGATGTACCAGGAGGGGCCTGGCCACGATCCTGTCACTCTCCCTGCCATCTGCCCAGGCCCTGGCGTCTGTCCACTGGCTGCTGGCAGTGACATGCTAGACCCTTCTCTGGCTACCCCTGAGTCATGGCTGATGTCTCTCGCACTGGCGTCCTCCAGGGAAGTTTCCTTCCAGACCGGGCATCTGGTTCACGGGCCTGGGTTGGACTTCATGATGCGCCCTGCAGATGCAGCTGTGGCTGTGTCCGTTACTGCTCTGGGTGAGCCCGGCTCCACAGGTGGGTCCATTCCAGGCCACACTCTTCTGCACAAGATGCCACAAGTACTTGGGTCTCATTTGAGGGGTTGTGGGAAGGGCCAATACTCTCCTACTTTTCTAGTTTGCAAAATAAAATGTGCATATGACTAATAGTAAGACAGTGAGGAAAGAGTTAAAACTAATTAGACATCTGCCACCCTGCATTCCCCATTCTAGTCCACCTAACTTACGTGTCAACGCTTGCTGCAACAGCAGATGGTCGAGCTTATTGGACCTTCTACAGCATCTCATGATTGAAATATCACTTCTTTAGTTTCTTCTTAGTTGTTATCTAAAGAGTACGTATTTACATATTGTTTAGTCTACCAAATACAAAAGCATCTTGTGACATCTCACCTTGTAAGGAAGATATTGGCACCATCAATTTGCCTGTCACCTAAATTTCTTAGTCTTCTATGGGTACATCCATATTTCCTGGAGTTTGTAATTCCCTTTCTTTTTTCTTACATTACCTGTTTTTATCACATTCTTAACTTCTTCCAGCTTTCCGAGTGTCTCCTCTGAAGACTTATGGCTGGAGCCCTCCTTCCTGTTTCCATCCCAGTGACGTTTCCCTAGACCTGGTGTGGGGTCACCATCCCGAGTGCTCCTCTCATTGTCTCCTTGGGTTTGCATCGGTGTTTCCTGAATTGCAGGTCTTGTTCTTTCTTCCTTGACTTCTTTGTTATGTTTGAGAACATCTTCAATTAATTGGGCAAGAAAGGGTACTTGCAAGATAAATTTTCTGAGTCCTTACATGTTGTGAAATTGTCTTTAATCTGCCTTCACATTTGATTAACAGTTTGTCAGGGAAGGAGTTTTGAGTTTAAATATTCCTCCTCCCTTAGATATTTACAGATATATTTATATCATTGTTTTTAGCATCTGATGTTGGTGATTTCATTTTATTTTCTTCTTTGCAACGTATCGTTCCTTTCTTGGAGTTTTGTTTTTTAAGTCTGGGTGTTCTGAAATTTCACAATGATGGTCTTAGGTTTGAGTCTTTTTAATTCACTTATCTGTTAAGCCTTTCAATTTAGAGAAGATAATGTCTTCTTTAAGGTTTGGCTATTTTTTGGACAATGTTCTTTGATAATTTATCCCCTCCACATTCTCAGTTCTCTTTAGAGCACAAATCTTATTCTGATGTTGGAAATCCTGGACCAGTCTCCCAAATGTTTACCTTTTTTCTTGCATTTCTTTTCTTTCTCATCGTACGTGCTTTGGAGGTGTTAAACTCTGTCTTTCAGTATTCCATTTTGACAGGTAGGCATTAAGAGAATTCCAGGCTCTTTTTTTATTTGAATTTTCCCTTCTTCATGCATTCTATTACTTTTTATAGATGCAGTGTCTTTGATTTTTCTGAGTATTCTCAATAGAAGTTTCAAAAATATGTTTTGTTGTCTGAAGGCAGGAATATTGGGGCTGTGGATTCTGGCCCTTCCTTGGATAGGGAAGGAGGAAGGGTCAGAAAGAGGAGAGGCCCTGGAGACTCATTGCTCTGTAGGCAGCTTTTCAGTTTGATCATATCGGTCCCTCATTTCTTGCTGTCCATGTTTTTTTTCCACTGTCAGAGACCTACGTTTGCCTGTCCAAATTTACCAACAAGGCTGGAGTGGGGCAGTCACTGGCCAACTTCACACTGGGACGAGGGGAGCTGGTCTTCACACCAGGTCCAGCACATGTGAGGGGTGATGTTCTCTAGGAACTGGTGAGCCTCCCTGCTGACTGCCTGAGCACCAGGATGTTACCCTGCTCTCCCTTACTGCTCCCTCCCTTCCAACCTCCTTAGGGTTCTCAGGACCTGACCTATACCCCACCTTCCTTTCGGATGCCCTACCAACATAGGATGTACTTGTGCCCTGGGTCTGCAGACTGTGGACATCTCCCTTCCACTAATTATCCCTCCCCTGACTCTCCCTTTGTTCTGGGCTTTTAGCTTATTACTTGTTTTTCTCTTGGAGGAAGAAGATCTAACCCAGTGATCTTTTATGTTTGAATCAGAAATGCTCAAATCAGCACTTAAACTGTATTTAATGTATCTCAGAGTACTTTTAAAGTTCCACAGAAAAGAGGAAACAGTGGAAAGTGGAGGTAAAATCACACAGACACCAGATTGTCAGGAAAGTTCCTTTGGTTTGAGATTGTCTGGGCAGCTGGCTGGCGGGTTGGGTCGTCGCTCTGGCAGACAAGACAAAGGACTGTGAGCCCCGCCTGGCTGGCCTGTTGTTCTGAGTCGGGGATCAGGGATTCCGATGCTAGGTTTACCACCTGGTAGACTCAGGGAAGACACGCACCTTCCTCCTTCCTTCCCTTTGCTCCAGAACGTTTGTTGACCCAGAATCGATCAGATTCACCATGGCTTATCTTGAATGATACATGGAGGTACTCTCTTCAATGTAGCGAGAAGGAGCCAGGTGAGGTCGTGACACCTTGCACCTCATTGAAATCATGGTGAAACCTCAGGTAAAAGGTGAAAATCAAAAAAGCTAAGGGCTGGTGGCTCAGCCTTGGATGGACCAGCACGAGATAAACTGAGAAGTGGACTGCCCATTCCCTGTCCTCATGCAGCAGGGGTGTGCGGGGGGCAGATTTGGATGCTGAATCTTTGGCATTGGGGGCTGGCACGAAGTCTGGGTTAATTAAGCAGAACTTGAAGTCTGCAAAATTGGGCTTTGTCTTTGTTTCTGAAGCCTAAAAAGGCCATTGAGATCAACAGTCGTGACTGTTCCTTCCTCAGCAAGGGAGGCTGAGGCTCGAGGTCTGCCAGGTTGGATGCTGCTTCTCTCCACGGAGGTCTTGATTGTGCTGCCTGTGGGCTGTGTTCTCTTCTTCCAGCACTGGGTTGTGGAATTTGTTTCTGTGTAGGACTCGCTGACCCACCTGTTGGCAATCCGCAGAGCATGTACCTGGAGGAAGGTCCGGGCACTGGCGGTGGTCAAGAACAACAGGCTGGCGGCTTCCAGGTGACACAGCCCCCGCCACAGCCTCCTGAATTCATCCTGACCCAGAGGTGAGGCACGCAGAGCCATGGGGCTCAAGCAGCATTTTCTCCGGCCGTGGGTAAGGTATTGTCTGGTTTACATACAGACTTGTGACCTCAGATGTGCAGATTGAGTCCTTTCCTTATGGGTTTCTGGAAGAAAAACAACATTCTCCCCACCCTGCATCTACCAGAAGAAGAGGGTAGTTTTTCCCTGAGACAAAAGAACACCTAGAAATAGCAGAGCAGATACGAGGTCTGTGTTGTGGACAGTGCTCACGGTTTGTGTCTTCTCCAAGATCACCCTGGGCCCCAGCAGCCTCTTTTTGGGCATTTTCTTTTCCCTAGACAGAGGTTGTCTGAGTTTTTGAGCAGCATCAAGGTGGATTTTCTATTCCAAACCGTAGTTTCAGAGGTGCTTGGGAGAGCCATGAACAGCCTAGGTGCTGTGGATTTTGGCCGTGGGGCCCAGGACAAGAGGCCAGGAGAATCTAGCTGTAGAGAAGAGGATGGAAGAGTGTGAGACGTTGGGGGGTCCTTTGGTGGATCTATGATAGGGGTCACCAGGACCAGGTCCCCAGGGTTCACAGTCTCCCCAGTCTGGGAGCCGAAAGCCAGGTGCCCAGTACGGGCGGAACTACAGTGCCGTGTGTGAGGAAGAAGGGGAGCAGTTCTTTAAGTCACTAATTTTCTTGCTGAAACAGCAGATGGTGAGAAAATGCAGACTGTGCAGATGGACTCACTTTTTCACTCGTGACCAGGAACCGTGATGGAGAAAATGCCCCCACTGGGTACCTTTGTGGTTTGCTTGGTCTCCCCACTGGCTGTATCAGCCTTGGACTCCCAAGGCCCAGCCCATCATTGCTCTGACCTGATGACTTTGACTCCTTCTTTAAAAGCAAATTCACTGGGGCATAAGTGGTATTCATTAAAGCAACATGTTTAGATGGTACAGATGGTCGTTTTCTGAGTGCGACTTACGTCTCCACCACGAAGCTAGAACTGCTGAGCCGTACAGAGCACTCCCACCTGCTTCTAACCCTGACACCCCCAGGACCATGGATCTGCTTTCTTTATCTGCATTTGCTAGAATTCCATGTAAACAACATCTAAAATTTTAAATTTGGGTGGGGCGAGGGGTCTGGCGCCTTTCACTCGGCCTGAGTACTTTGAGATTTTCCCCCTGTTGCTGTGTGCATCAGCAATCCATTCCCCTTTATCTGTGAGTTCTGGTCCTTGGTGTGGCCGGACCATGGTTTTTTGATCCATCACCGGTTTGTAGTCATTGCTGAGTCCCTGGGTTGGGTTGCTTTGGACATACGTGTTTGCCTTCACGTCTCTGGGGTGTGTACACAGAATGGCTGCGTAGGTGTGCGTCTGCCAGTTTAGGGAACTACCAGACTGTTGTCCCGAGTGGCTGCACCCGTTATCTTCCCTGCTCTCCCAGCCTGGTCCTAATGGCCTCTTGTCTCCTTCACACCCCAGGCCTGCCCCTTCTTGACCCTTCCTTCGGGTGTCCGCTTGCCGGCCCTTCTCTGTGAGCCTGCCCTGAAGTGCTCTCTGGCTCACCCAAGCCCCCTACTTGAGGTGTCACACAAGCCTCTGTGGCACCTGCACACCGGAGGGCCCTATGAGAGGACAGTGTTCCTGAAGAGCATCCAGCACCTGGAAGGGCTGCTTATGTGCAGAGAGCGGTCAGGGCATGTAGTGACCTGGCGCCCCATTGATTCAGAGCTTGTCCTGACGTCATCTTTTTTCCAGCCCCCTGGAGTTGGCTCCGGACCCCTCTTTCTCCAGCCCTATGTCTGCTCTGGACCTGAGCCAGCCCTTGCCCTCCAGCCAGGTGAGACCCTACTACCAGGTACCATGGGTTTCCCTTTGAATTCTTGGATTCTCAGGTCATGCCTTTGGAGTGAATAAAGCAGACAAATGGAACGAGGGGTGGGCATGCCTCAAGGCTGGAGTCAATTGAATGGGAGCCGGGTGCCACGGGCTAGTGTTTCCCACTGAGGCCAGAGAGGGTGGGTCCCAGGGTAGGGGTGCCCGGGTGGGAAGGTGGAGCCAGGCAGAAGGTGCTTCTGTGCGTAACGCTGTGTTGGCTTTCCAGGTGCAGTGGCCCGATGGCCAGGCCTCTAGCGATGCCTTCTGGGGAGCCCGGATGCTCCTTGAGCTTTCAGGGGGCAGCCTGGGTTGAGAGAGATATCCTTTGGGGTATCCAGCCAGTGCCCTGGGGAGCAGATGTGGACATCCAGCCATTCAACACACGTTACAGAGCTTTATTCCGACTGAAAAAAGGACCCCAGAGTTCCTTAGGGGGTTCCAGTGAGAAGCATTGGGGGCCAGTTAGCCCCCTGCCATGTTTCATAGTTTGGTTGGCTGGCAACTCACTGTATTGGAGGAAGCAAAGCACTCGAGAATTCTGTTGAGCCCAGAAGTTAGAGGGGTCTGTTTCACTCAGGCAGCGAGAAATTGTGACCTCAAGCTCCTGGGCAGGTTCTGGGCAGGGAAGGCCTTTCCAGAGCAAGAGGAGAATGTTTTGCTGTAATGACGAGGCCACACTTTACCCAGATAAGTTGGTTAGTGGGGCATGGACACTGTTCTGACATATCTATATCTTGGGGGGCTTCTTCAGAGGGTTATGTGGTTGGGATGGCTCAGGCAAGATGCGACGGTACATTTCCCCCTGAGGTTGTAAATCATTTTGTTTGTAAAACAAATGTTCTGTTCTATTAAATTACAGTTTAATGTTCTGAACTCCCCCTTTTACTCTTTTCAAAACAATTTTTTAATGTTTATTTTATTTTTGAGACAGAGCATGAGTGGGGAGGGGCAGACACACACACACACACACACACACACACACACACACACACACACAATCCCAAGCAGGCTCCAGGCTCGGAGCTGTCAGCGCAGAGCCCGATGTGGGGCTCGAACTCATCAACCGTGACATCACAACCTGAGCCTAGTAGGACGCTCAACCAACTGAGCCACCCAGGCGCATCCCCCCCCCCCCGCCCCTTTTACTCTCTTAACTACATCTTGGACACCTGTCCCTTTCAGTCCCTGATGGGCACTTCATGGCATGAGTGAGCATTGATTGATGAATTAGTACCCTGTTGATCTGATTGTTTCTAATGTCTCTGTTTTATAAACAGTGTCACAGTGTCCCTTTGCCCTTTACCTGTTTTTTGTTGGAGAAAGGAATTTCCCCAGTGCTACAAGCTGCCATGTTCAAGCACACCGGGCCCAGAGGGGCCGACTGTGATGTGACTCTTGATGCATGTGACCCTTCTTTGCAGGGGTGACGTTGATACTCATAACTGTCACCTCCAGGGATAGGTCCTTGGTCCTTGCCTCTCCCATTGTGTCAGTTGACAGATATGTGCTGAGCAGTTTGTGTGATACAGCAGGGAGCAGAGTCCATTTCTTGCTGTCAGGCACCTCACGGGATAGACAGAAATAAGGAGCAATCGTGGGTAGTTGCATATCCCAGGATATGTGATGCATTAATGATGAGACACCCAGGGCTTCCCAAAGGGAGGCACCTGAGCTGAGACCACCTATGCTCCCTGCCCTCACCTTGACTCTGCAGACCTTCATTGCCAACACAGCACGTACCGAATGGCAGCAGCAGCAGCAGCAGCAGTAATGTTTCCACTCGGGGACATTCACTCGCATTCGCATTCGGTGTTCCCAGAACCTGCAGTCTTTCAGTTGTCAAAGATTTCTTTATTATGCAAGTCACAAACTTGTAAAAAGTTGCAAATGGAACACAAACGTTTCTGATGCCTGTCATTGCTCTACTTCTGTGTCGCCTTTACATACAGAATTCTACATTCCCATGAGGCAATCATCAAAAAGGAGATCAATACTGATACATTACCACCTTTTTCCAGACCCCATTAAAGTGCACTCGGTCGTCCCACTAACGCCCCAAATTACAAAAGAGCCATCACATAGCACATGCTGCGTGTACTCAGTGCATCGTTTCCTGGCCTGCAGCAGCCCCTGTTCCTCCCTTGACTTTTATGACTGACAGTTACTCTAGCACGTCACCCCAAACGGCCAGGTCTGAGGTTTCCCTGTAATTCAGGGAAGGACTTTTTGGAAGGAATATCCCAGAAGTGACAGCAGGTACTTATGTCTTACAGGTGGCACATGATTTTGATGGTTCCATCATTGTTGGTGCTCGTTTTGATCACTCGATTAGGGTGTTTTCTGCCAGGCTTCTCCACTACAAAGTTACTGTTTTTGTATCTTTTGGGGGGTGGTGCTTCGAAACTATGTAAACATGCTGTTTCTCATCAAGCTTTCTGTCGACTCCTGAATTTCTCTAATGGGTGTACATTCTAAGAATTCATGAACACATTACCACCTTCCCTCATTGACACGGTGCACGCTCATGAAGATTTACTCTTCAGCCTTCTCATGTGCCAGTCGCCCAAGTAGTGATTTGTTTTAATCACTGAGATACAACTCATCGTGCACTACCTGCCACCTTAGGAAGTGCCCTGTTCAAATTCATCCTGCCCTCTCAGTCATTCAAAGTCTGCACAAAGTGTCAACACAGTTGATAAACACACTGTAGTGCGAGGGTTAGAGGGTTAGGGACTAACCGTGGGCTGCTGTGAGAGGTACTACCCTTTGGCCTTCCTGGGAAACATGCAGAGCTCTGGACCCATCCCAGCCTTGGCCTTATCTGAGATGCAGGGCGGTAACTATGTGAGGTGGTCACAGTCCGAGGCAAGACCCTTCTCAAAGGGCTGTGCGATGACCTCCCAGGTATCTTCCTTCTTCCTACCCTTTATAGATACTGGGCTCAATACTGAAAGTTCAGAGCACTACTGACTCAGCCAGCTGGAGCATGTCCATTTTGTGGGCAATGGACTATAGTCTCTGGAGCTGACCCTTGACAGACTCCAGCTCCTTTGGAGGGCCACCTGTGCAGTGGTCAGGTGGCTCATGTGGATGGAGGCTGCTCGGCACCTGTGGGAGGGGCTTCTGCTGAGCATTCCACCACCCAGCCCCGACTCCGAGGCCCACCACTCCCCTCCCTGCTTTGTGTGCTGATCCCAGGCCCTCTGCGGTGGGGGGGGGGGGGGGGGGCCCACAGTCATTTCTGCCCTCACCCCGTTTATGGGCCAGCCTGGACCCAGTAGACATAGGTGAGGTACTGTGACCAGGCCGAGGGGCCTCTTTCTGTGCCTTGCTGAGGCACTACCCCTACTGAGATTAAAAGGGATATAGTGGCTATTCCAAATGGCCGATGGCTGAGAGGGGCCCAGAGGAGGTGTAAGAGGATGTGATCTGGCCATTCCTGGGCTTTCTGGGCTCCACTGACCAGCTCCGGGGAGGCCAACTCCCTTGCCTCTCCTTTTCTTTATAGTCCCATGGGCCCCATGAGGTTGAAAGCTATGGTCAGAGTTCCCAGTCAGGGCCAGAAGTGACCACCTAGCAGTGGCCTTGGTCTGTGAAGGCCCCTGCCTTAACCCCCACCCCCTATGGTCTGGAGACTGCTGGATAGAGCAGAGGGTGCCTGCATTGGTCTCTTGGGTCTCCTGTAACAAAGCTGCACAAACTAGGTGACCTAGAGTACCAGATCTGTTACCTCACGGGATCTAGAGGCTGGAAGAGTGAGATTAATGTCATGGTCATGAAATCTCGAGGGGAGCTTTCTCCAGGTTCTGGTTTGGGACAGCAGAGCTCCAGTCTTCACATGGTGTTTTCCCTGTGTGTGTCACTGTCCAGTTCCTCTGGCTTATTCCAACATCGTCATGGTGGAGTAGGTCTGATCTAAATGACTTCATCTTGACTTCATTATCTCTGAAGACCCTATTTCCATTTCAGGTCTCATTCAGGGGTATTGAGGATTAGGGCTTCAACATATGACATTTTATAGAACACAGTTCAACCCATTAACTGTGTCCCTGCCCCTGCTGGTGGTCACCT